ATATATATATATATATGTGTGTGTGTGTGTGTGTGTGTAACAGGTATATGAAATACTTAGATTATTGTAATGAAATTCCTGCTCAAATATGTATTATAGTGGTCATATAATGAGTGGCTTTGCGCTCTCTACTGGTAGACTATAAATATGACTGAAATTCTATCACAGTCTTCCTAACACTCTGCTGTATGGAAGCCATTATGTCTCTCTTCTTAAAAAAAAAAAAAAAAACCTCACGAGACAGTATGTCTGATGCTATTTTTATTTATAGATATGTGTACCACTAGAGGAGCTGACCACGCTATGTTATGCTCTGAACCACTCATTTACAGGTAATTAATTGTGTTATACTAAATGCTCTGGGTTAAGTCAGTTACGTTTGGCAATGTCTGCTGGTTGTCATGACGACACAGCGTGACTGTTATATTGTCTGTGAACCACCAGAGGTGGTGTAGAGCAATTTAATGATTCATTTTAACTGTTGTCTGCATTTATTTTTCTAATTTCTTATTTTGTTGAAAAAATGGATGTCAGGTCAAAACAGGTTGTGTTAGATTTATTGTAAAACATTAATGCTAAAACCACTATACGATCACGCGTTTAAAAGAATATTGTTAAAAGTCATTGTAACAGATATTTGAAAATCATCACCGTCTTCCTAACGCTCTGCTGTGATGTGTGTGCCAGTAGGAGCTAACCAGGCCATGTTTATGCTCTGAACCACTCATTTACAGTAAAATGCTACCTCATCCAACCCACTGGTCTCTGTGAGTGTTTATGACAGGACGGGTTACACAACTGTTACACTGGTGCCGTGCTATCATGCATACATACACACACATATATATATATATCCATTTACATATATATACACACATACACAAACACACACACACACACACACACACACACATATATATATATATACATATATCTACATATACACACGTACACACACAATCTTTTTATGTGTGCAGTGTGGGCTTTTTCACTCGGAAAATACAAATACATATAATTATAATATAGTTGATGTTAATGTTATGAACCCACAAAATGGTTTTACAGCGTTTTCACAGAATTACTCACGTTGTTGCTCTTTTTGAACGCTAGATGTCGCCAAAGATCATCCCAGTAATGACAAGGGGGGGGGGGTCAGTTTCGCGCATGCTCAGTGACTGTTGTTTTGTTTATCAATTTGATGTTGTTCGCTGAAAGTTAGAGACCAGTCTACGGAGGTTAGGCCAACAGAACACTTTGAGACACTTGTTTGGGGCACATTATGTCTGCGAGATACGCCATTAGCCGAGGGCTGGAGTTGGGCCGCTCCTTCCAGCTGGGTCTCCTAAAATCAGGCGGACGTGTCGCAGCGAAGCTCCGAGCTGACCGTTTTCGTGTAGGCCCGTCGGTCCGCACCGTTCAGCCTCAGGCTTTCCTGCCGTCCCGGTACCGCTATTACCGCACCTCTCTGAGGGGCTTGGCAGCTCAACTTCAGTCCTTCGGCTTTAGAAGGTTCGGCGGCGGGTCTCCGCGGAACAGGGCCGTGTTTTTAGCGTTTGGCCTCGGTGTGGGTCTCATCGAGCAGCAGCTTGAGGATGACAGACTGAGTGCGGCAACATGCCAGGAAATACAGGTCTGAAGTTCACATATTAATACAAACATGCAAGTGCTCCGACATGTTCATATTTTGTCACTGATATGTTTTTCTGGTGTTGTTTACCGTAAATGTTTTCCCGCTCGCACTCTGATTAGATTGTTTGTTTATTTTACACCTAATCATTTTAACTGGTTACCATTACGTTTTCCTGTATTGTTTAGGATGTTGGATGATGACACATTTTGTAAGCTTTACAACATTTTGTTAAGGTTTATGTATTACATACAACTTATTAGGATTATGAGTTTGTGCATTGTCGTACAACCAAATTATTTAATTGGTAACAAGGATGTGATTTGACTGTACTGGGTCTTCAAAAATGTAAAACTTTAAGGTGCAACTCACTTCATGGGTGTTAAATATGGTTTCTTTTGATCTGCAGGCAGTATTCAGCAAGAAAAAGTTTCACGGCCCACTTAAACCATTCACTTCTGGATATAAACTGGAAGATTACATTATAGGGAACCAGATTGGTAAAGGCGCCAATGCAGTTGTGTACGAAGCTACAGCTCAGTATGCCTGCCCAAAGGCGAGCGATGACGTGGGCTCACCTGCGCAGGTAAAAGATGATGAAGAGAAAATCCAGACGGTGCGATCTCCAGCATGTTGCTCTCTACGAAACTTCCCCTTGGCTATCAAGATGATGTGGAACTTTGGGGTGAGTGATCTGAAACACGTGTAGATCCAGATAAAAAACAAAACTAAGCTTTAAAGTATATTTTGTAATGTGATTTGTTTGCAGGCAGGGTCTTCAAATGAGGCGATAATTAAGTCCATGTCTGAGGAGCTGGTACCTGCTGGCCCTCTTGCATTAAAACATGAAAAAGAACAGATTCTCCTGGATGGGTAAATGTTTCTCCTGTAGATCTGGTCACTCTGTCCCGTTGTACAGAGCTGAGCAGCAAACGTTGATGGATTCCTGTGGTCTTTTTGTGTGCAGACATTATGGAGTCCTGCCCAAAAGAATCTCCGCTCACCCCAATGTGATCAGGGTGTACCGAGCTTTCACAGCAGATGTGCCGTTGCTACCAGGTGCCAAGGAGGAGTATCCAGATGTTCTGCCAGCCAGGCTCAACCCCGATGGGCTAGGCAACGATCGCACTCTTTTCTTGGTTATGAAAAAGTAAGACGTAACATTTTTCACCCCAAGTCCTACACAGTTGGTAAATTATAAAGCTGCTTTTATGTAAAATAATGTTGAATGGTTATTCTAAGTGGGATGTTCTTAAAAAGTGTTTGTTTTTACAGTGCTTGTTTATTTTCTCTCATTATCAACACAGACTGATGCGTTGGTAACAGCCTGTCAATTTTGTTTCCGTAGTTATCCCGGCTCACTGCGAGAGTACCTGCAAGTGTGTGTACCCGGTCGCAGGCATGGATCCCTGATGGTGCTGCAGCTGCTGGAAGGGGTGGCCCACCTGTGTAGGCAGGGTGTCGCTCACAGGGATCTCAAATCAGACAACGTGCTGCTGGAGTTTGACTCAGGTCAGATTTAAACACAGATCTTGATTCGATTGGCAGGTATGTTTCTCTCAGATGTACTCATTTTATTTTGTTTTTTCAGATGGTTGCCCCCGTTTAGTAATTACTGACTTTGGCTGCTGTTTGACTCAGAGGGACTCTAGCTTACAGCTATCTTTCAGCAGCCTGTGGGTCAGCAGAGGAGGAAATGCCTCCCTTATGGCTCCTGAGGTAGACTTAAAAACAGTTTCTACAATGAAAGACACTTTACAGTCATTTCTTGCTTTCATTCAAACATCAGTAAAGAGACAGAACAGTGCAACAAGTTGACAGTTTGAGATTTTTATGTGTTGGCTACAGTACCGTGTTTTTCGACGTATACGTTGCACCGCTCTATAAGTCGCATCAGTCCAAATATGTCCACTAAAGAGGAAAAATCCATAAATACGTTGCTTTGCCATATGCGTCGCATCTATTATGCGTCACCACTGACAATCCAGAAATATGAGCCGATGTGGCAAAAATTGATTGGCTGTCAAATGGCAGTGGCTGGAGCGTGCACCGGAGGACTTTAAGAAGAATTTAGCCAGATTAACACTTAAAAACAATTATTTGTTTGCTTGAAATAATAGTGAAGGTGTGTCTCAGTTGAACTTTTACTTAATAAATGCACCTCAATGGTCAAATCAGCTGCATTTCAAAAATCGATACGCGGGAACGTGCAGAGGGCGACTCACTGTGCATTTCTTCTAAATTTAACAAGATAAGCACCTAAAAACAATTGTTTGTTTACTCGACATTATAGCAAAGGTGTGTCTCAGTTGAACTTTTACATAATAAATGCACATCAGCTGCATTTTGTCAGGGCGGCTCAGCAAAATTAAGCTGATTTGACAGTTTCTCCAGGCGAGCTGGGTGATGGTGGTAGGCTATGGCAAGTTAATTGTGTCATTAATAGCCACTTTTACCTATTACATGACACAACGGCATGCCATACTGGAGTGCCATCTTGTGGCTGAAAATGGTAGTGTTCAATATTTTCAGTCAGAATGAATGAAAACGTCATATCTAGGGGTTGAACGACTACATAATTTTTAAAGTCAACATTAACATGAGTCGAGTAGAAGTCAAGTAGTTGATGATGTCATAAGCTCTCAAGATGCAAAAAAATAAATTAAATAACTCAATTTATTATTTACAAAGATTTCCGGATTTCCGGCTTTAGAGCGGGACAGCCTCAATTTAACTTTAGTGGATAGACAGTGATTACATCCAATCACATTGAAGCTCGCGTTGTCTTGACCAGTTACTAACAGGAAGGCGAGTCTTAGAAAAGCGTGTGTGTATGTGGCTTCACAGGGAAGTCAATGCAGAAGATGGAGTTCATCGCACCGGGATAAAATATAGTTTTACTGGAGAAACAAGTGGCGCTTTGCCTTCTCCATAACAGGAGGTGATGTCTCCTCCTCAAGTGTCCAGCGCCTCCTACTCTGACTGACGACGTGTCCCCCCTTGGAACGAATCAAAGTTCAGGCGTGTGGGTCAAATGACTGATTTCAGTCTCTAGCAGGAAAGACACAGCATCTCAGCGACTCCCTTTAAATTTGTGTCAAAACTACAGATTTTAAATCGTGTTAATAGACCAAGTAAAACCAGAGTTATGATCGTCAAATCTCTAGCGCGTTATATCGAGAGCCTGCAGCCCCCGCCCCCCACCACCACCACCACCGAACACATAAACAACCTCCCCCCTCCTTTCTGATGGAGGCTCAAAGTTATTTGTCAAGCACCAAATAATCTACAGGAAAATAAGAAAAAGACGCGGAAGTTGAATGGAGTTCAGTGCACGGTAATGTCAGCGAGAGTGGGGCTGAGTCGATGAGTGATGAAGAGGAAGGTCATTTGTTTAGAAGAGGAAGAGCGGACCGAGCCCAGGTGTGACTGCGCAGAGGAGGGGGTCCAGAACCAAGCATCAGTTCTGAGCTCTGGAGAGCAGAGGAGGATGTGGATGTTGACCCAGAAGGCAGACTAATGGAGGAAAAGACACTTTTAAAAAATTTACAGTAAAATTAATATTTTGTCAATTTAAAAAAAATGTAGAAACAAGCATTAAAATAAAAATCAATTAAATTAAATACATTTATTTCAGGCTGACGGCTCTAAAACTAGTTTTTAGTGGATGAACTATTTTAAACTAATATTTTTAAGCAGCTAAATAAGATGGTTGATTTTCCCTCTGAGGAACATGAATAAATAAATAAATAAATAAAGATTAATACCATCTTATTCAAATAAGATAATAATGTCTGTAGTTAGAGAAAACAGGTTTTTGAGCTGCATGCATTCAGCTGGGCGCTGCAAGATAAAGAATAAAGATCGTTTCATTGTGAAATAATTCTTTATTAGATGACTGCATTGTACATGTTTATCTCCTCTACAGAACTGATTGACATTTACTGCTGATTATGATTTCATAATTCTTTTCATGCATGTGATGCTGGTAAGCATAGGCATTGCATCATTTATATGTGAAGGACATGTCCCCCTCACATTTAAAAAATATTTGTTTGGACCCCCCACACACACATTTACCATGAAATATTAATTCACCCAGCGCTCTTTGCATCTCTTTGTGAACAAATCCATTCCACTTGATTAATAGAAGAATAGTCAAAGCACTAAACGTTCCCTCTGGGTTTTCAACAACTCTCCACACTGTATGCAGTGTTTCCCCAGGTCTTGGCAGGGGACACTTGTTTCTTGACAGGGTAAGGGGGGAGGGGGAGACACCTCTGTGTGACATGCTGTCTTAGCACTACGTTGGTGCCGGCTGTTGTCGACTGGGGCGGGGGTGTTAGGATGCTTGAGGTGAGCAGGGAGTGCTCTATTCACACAAGGAGAGCTGTTGGTCAGGCTGCTACTTATTACTTTCTAAAATAGTTATTGAATCAAGTTACTTATGTAGGTAAACATAGATGATTACCCCTTAAAATACACCAGAGTACAGGAAATGGCATTTACTTTATTCAAAATCTTATGGGGGAGGACCTCCAGACCCTGCACCCCCACCTCACCAGTGTGCCTGCTCCCCCACTTACAAATGCTTCTGATGCCAATGCTGATAAGACATTTTCATTGCGCACAACATCTTTGTGTTGATGGTGGAAATGACTGCAACCTCCTACTCTAAAAGTTATTTAGAATGCTGGGAGTCCTAAAACCAGCTCTGTGGAACTTCTTCCTTTTAGATTGTGATATTGAGTGTTCTAAATTTATTACAAATTAATTGACTGAAATGTGTCTGTTCAATGTGGTGTTGAGTCTTTTTGTGTTTTTTAGCTGCGGGGCAGTACTCTGGGGTACATATTTTATGTTGTTTAAGTTCACATACACTGAAACCTCATTTAAGTCATCGTTACTTGAAGCTGAATTGTTTGTTGTTAAAAGCCCTTGTTTGCTCTTTTCAGAGCATTTTTAATAAACGTTGGCAATATGTCGTGGTTTTATTCTATCAACACCACAAAAAAAGTTCCAGGCTCAGAATTTTTTTTTTTTTTTTTCCACTTTAAGCCCTGGGGCGGTCGACCACCCTGCACCACTGCCAGCGGTGGTGCATTAGGTTTAGGTTTAGACATTAATATTTTTTGCTTTTTGTTTGTGAAACAAGATCAGAAGGAAACTGGTTCTGGTTCACTCATTGGACCCAGTGTTGCACCATATTCTGCCCTGCAACAGTGCATGCAACACCGCCCCCTACGGTTACAATATACGGTGGTCACAAAATATGGTGCAACACCGGTTCACTACGAGCTCCAAACAGTCAGGAAGTTGATTTATTTTCTGTTTCCTTACGGCAGTTGAACCAGAAGATTCATCTTTAGTGAAATATTTCCATACTACTGATGTATTTCTACCTGTTTGCCAAGACTGGGCCTGCTCTGCGCCATCCGTCTGCTTGGAGGAATCCATTTTGTAGAGCCCGCGCCCGGTGCGGATCACATGACGCAATGACGTAACTGTGAATACTCGACGTGAAATTTAAAAATTCGCAAGATATCCTAGGAATCAATGTGTAGATGACTTGAGTAGTCTGTTAAAACCCTAGTCATATCTCAGCCAAACATTGGTTTATAAATATGGGAAAAAATCCATAAATAAGTTGTAGGGCATGAAAATTATGCAAAAAAAACACAACTTATAGGCTGAAAAGTGCAGTAGCTGTACACACACACACACACAATATTTACCACTTTTGTTGGAAAAGAGTTGAGACATTGAGTAAAATGTAAATAAAAACAGAATTCTGTTTCAGGTGGCCACGGCAGTTCCAGGAAGCGGTGTGGTGATCGACTACAGCAAGGCAGATGCCTGGGCTGTGGGTGCCATCTCCTATGAGATATTTGGACAGCAGAACCCTTTCTACCAGGCCGTTGGACTGGAGAGCACCACCTACCAGGAGAAGCAGCTTCCTCCTCTGCCTTCCTGTGTTCCAGTTGACGTGCGTTTGGTGACACGATTACTTCTCAGGAGGGACCCTAGCAAGGCGAGGCTTGTGACATATTTCTTAGGACACATTTAGTCCTGTGGGTGTTTTTCAAAACTGATCTCTCATGTTGTAACATTATTAACAATGTTTTTAGTTACAAAACAGATCAATGCTGCTAAAATCTTATTTGCTCTGAAATTAACTATTGACTGATTGACTGATGAACCACTGACTGATCTTCTTCCTCTGCAGCGCCCCAGTGCTCGTGTAGCTGCTAACATGCTGCATCTCAGCATCTGGGGTCGAAGGGTTTTGGCCAAGCAGGACAGCTCTGGCATGAAGAAGCTGGTTGATTGGCTGCTATGCCAGTCTGCTGTGGTTCTCTTGAAGGGCTTCAGCAGACCCGGTGGAAACACGGTGGAAGCCGAGCTTCAGACGAGCTTTTTGTCCAACTTGGACCTGGAAGATCTGCGTGCTGCTGTAGGCTTCCTCCTTTATGGGCGAGAACAGCACCAAGCCTGTATTCTGTCTGTATAGAGTTACTCAGACATAACTCGAGATCTCTGTATTCATAGTGAAATGTTTCTAGTACCATTTAATGGCTTTTTAAATTGACAGAAGCACAATACTCGTGTCACTGCTTATTTATCGTTTGAGTAGTTTTTATGAATTATTAGATTTTATTTATCTACAAAGGTTGAGTCAGGTCCTCTGGATGGATTCCTCCTCTCATTCCTCTATCCAGGATGTGAACATCTTCATCCCTGAAAGAGTGACCTCTGGCCTGGAGATGAGTGTAGACTGCAGAATCCTGGCCTGATGATGTTGATCTTCTGTGCTGGGCCATCCTTTTGGCCAGTGGCTGTTTAGTTTCCCCGATGTAAAACTGATCACCCTCCTGACACTGAACAGCATACACAGTATTACTCTGTTTGTGCCGGGGGACTGGATCTTTGGGATGAACCACTCTTTGCTGTAATCATGCACATGTGTCAAACTCGAGGCCTGTGAGGGCCAAATGTGGCCCTCGTTGACATCTTATCTGGCCCCCAAGATGATATGTTAAACGTAAAATACTTTTATCACTTAAATTTGTTTTTAGCAATCTTTGATTATGATGTCGAAAGCGCAATAGAGAACATCAAATGAGACCAATCAAACTCTTGTTGAGGAACCTGTGACAAGAAAAGATGCCGGGTATCTTAACTCGAGTTAACGTAGATTCTGAAATTGGCCCTTAGTTTGAAAAAGGTTTTTATTTCGGCCCCCTTTTGTGAGTTTGACACCCCTGCTTGTATTTTGGGGTTTAAAAGCCACTGGGACGTTGTGTTTAGAAAACGAACGTCTCAGTTTCTCTGAAACTCCTGCAACACATGGAATGACCACTGGTCTGGGTTCCTCCTTTTCACCTGATGGCTGCTGGAGTCCTGTTTGGTTTCTTATCTACGTTTAGATTTATGTGCCTGGGTTATTGAGCCTGCAACTAAATATGATTTACACTTGAGTACTTGTCTCTCCTCAAAATCCTAGTGACCTTGTGCTAGTGAAGTAGCTGTTGTCTGTGCCCAAACAAATCTGAATTTGTTTCACTCACATCACTATAGTATCTATGGGAGCTCTGATTCAAACCTGTACTCTTTAGGGAAACTGCTACTTGTTTAATGTTTTCTGTTCATGTTAGAATATCCCCTTTTATTTTCATAATATAATTTATCTCAAATTAGTTGTCAGTTCCAAACAACTACCGTGTGTGGTAATGAAACTTACAAATGACTACTGGTACTACTGTGCTAAGAGTAGATACTTTGAAAGCTCTGATGTACTTTACAAATATTTGCCAGGCAAATCCCAACATAGATGGTGTTATTTTTGCAGAAATTCTGTAGAGGTCTTGATATTTTAAAGACCAATTTGAATATTTTAAATGGAAACAATCTTCCTCTACTGTGTAGGGTAGCAGAAAATGCAGGTAACACACCCAATATACCCATTAAGCAGCTTGTTGGTCTCTGTAAAAAGGTGTAATCCTGTCTTCATGTGTTCTGCACTCTTAATGGCAACTGTGTTGTAGTTAGGATAATGCAGAAAAGTGAATGTTATTTTCTTGTTTGCACTTTTGTCCACGTTTGCACTTTCTCAGAATGATAGCTGTGGTGTTTGCCTGTTGCATCTTTAATGCTAAACATTATGAATGACTATATTCTACAAAGAGACCTTATATTTTACACATTTTATTTACTATAAATCCAGTCTGTTAAGTCTTCAACATCACCCTTTAAAATATAAATCTTTGTAAGTGGTTTAGGCTGTTTGTCTGGTTTGCACACTAAAGATTTAGAGAAATATTTTAGAGATGTATAAAATGTTCTGTATTTCAGAATAAAGGTGTATAAAATGAGCGCTGCTGTCAGCAAGTCTGGTCTGTTTTCACTGAACACTTTCCAAACACATCTGCGGTTTTTAAAGTCATTTTAAGGATTTTGTTTTTTAATTGTTTGGGTTCCTTACACTTTTCCTACAGAATTTTTACTGATTTGGATTAGCATTAAGCAGCTTTAGAAGTCCTGAAATTTCCAGTTAAATACTTTACATTTTATAAAGACCACAGAAAGAACTTTGCAGTAGGTGAACTTTAATACATGTCCAAACTGAAACAATTTTCTGTTGAACAGACACACTTTAAGAACAAAAGTTTAGGAGATTAACTCAACTGTGCATTTGTTTTAGTACTCTTCTCCTTCCTCCTCTCCCTCACCCTCAATGGAGTCGACACCGACCTCCTCATAATCCTTCTCCAGAGCTGCCATGTCCTCCCTGGCCTCAGAGAACTCTCCTTCCTCCATACCCTCTCCTACATACCAGTGGACAAAAGCCCTCTTGGCGTACATCAGATCAAACTTGTGGTCGAGTCGAGCCCAGGCCTCTGCGATGGCCGTGGTGTTGCTCAACATGCACACAGCTCTCTGGACCTTGGCCAGGTCTCCATCAGGGACCACAGTGGGTGGCTGGTAGTTGATGCCAACCTTGAAACCAGTGGGACACCAGTCCACAAACTGGATTGAGCGCTTGGTTTTGATGGTGGCAATGGCAGCATTCACATCTTTGGGCACCACATCGCCACGGTACAGGAGGCAGCAGGCCATGTACTTACCGTGACGAGGGTCACATTTCACCATCTGATTGGCCGGCTCAAAGCAGGCGTTCGTGATCTCAGCCACTGAGAGCTGCTCATGGTATGCCTTCTCAGCTGAGATGACAGGAGCATAGGTGGCGAGAGGGAAGTGGATACGGGGATATGGCACCAAGTTGGTCTGAAACTCTGTCAGATCAACATTCAGGGCACCATCAAAACGCAGAGAAGCAGTGATGGAGGACACGATCTGGCTGATGAGCCTGTTCAGGTTGGTGTAGGTGGGGCGCTCGATGTCGAGGTTTCTACGACAGATGTCGTAGATGGCCTCGTTGTCCACCATGAAAGCACAGTCAGAGTGCTCCAGGGTGGTGTGGGTGGTCAGGATGGAGTTGTAGGGCTCCACCACAGCAGTGGACACCTGGGGGGCTGGGTAGATGGAAAACTCCAGCTTGGACTTCTTGCCGTAGTCCACAGACAGACGCTCCATCAGCAAGGAGGTGAACCCAGAACCAGTACCTCCACCAAAGCTGTGAAAGACTAGGAAGCCCTGGAGACCGGTGCACTGATCAGCCTGAGAACACAGATGAAATACAGTGTTAAAGTTGGTTGAGTTAGTTCACCAGTGGTGTGCTGTGAAATTTACCCACCAGTTTGCGGATCCTGTCCAGAACCAGGTCAATGATCTCTTTCCCAATGGTGTAGTGTCCACGGGCGTAGTTGTTGGCAGCATCCTCCTTACCAGTGATCAGCTGCTCAGGGTGGAAGAGCTGGCGGTAGGTCCCAGTGCGTACTTCATCTGAGAAGACAGAGCCAATCCAAAATGAAGGGTTTAACTGGATCAAATAAAGAACTGGAATACCAATATTTCAGAGTTTACCAATGACAGTGGGTTCCAGGTCCACAAACACAGCTCTGGGGACGTGCTTCCCTGCTCCAGTCTCGCTGAAAAAGGTATTGAAAGAATCGTCTCCTCCACCAATAGCTTTGTCACTGGGCATCTGTCCATCAGGCTGGATCCCATGTTCCAGGCAGTAGAGTTCCCAGCAGGCATTGCCAATTTGAACACCAGCCTGACCAACGTGGATGGAGATACACTCACGCTGGAATAAAAAGACAGAAAGTTTGGAAACATTTTCGGAAACAAAACTAATTTCAAAGCCGTTTTTATTGACTGTGTCACTTCAGTGGATCATCTGTGTCTATATAAATTGGGCTCGAGCCGGCGATGCCAGGATTGAAGGGCTGCAGCACGTAACCACTGGGCTACCGCACCGTAATGTTTGGAATAGATAAAAAATAAAAATAAATGCTTCAGTTTGGGGCGGCTGTGACTGAGTGGTTAGAGCAGTCGTCCTCCAATGCCAGAGTTGGGGGTTCAAATCCACCAGCAGTCACATGCTGAAGTGTCCCTGGGCAAGACACTGAACCCCTCAGCCTCTGATGTGTGTCCCATCTGTGTTTGAATGTGATAAAGCTCTGATTAGTCTCTTTAGAATGATTTGTTCAATTAGCTTTGTAGAGATCTAGTAGAGTGCTGTATGAATGGGTAAATGAGGACACAGATTGTAGTGTAAAGCACTTTGAGTATCTTGAAATAAGATAGAAAGGTGCTATACAAGTACAGTCCATTTATATTCTTGCAACCTATTATGTCAAACCAGCTGTCTGCGTGTCCTCCTTCACTACATCCACAATCCTTCTCTTTGGTCTTTCTGTTTACCTCCTCCCTGGCAGCTTCATCAAAATCCCTTGATCAGCATATCTACTATCTCTCCATATCATCTCAGCTCAGTTTCTCTGACTTTACCTGAGCTCTGCCTCTTACAGACTCATTTATAACCCTGTCCAGTTGGCCTCCCATTGAAAATCTGAACATCTTCATCTCCACCATCTCCAACTCAGCCTCCCATCTTTATGATATGCCACTGTCTCCAAACCGTAATAGCAGGTCTCAGTGCCATCGTGCAATATTTTCTTTCACTCTTGCAGCTTTTGGATGAAGACAAAACGTTTCTACAAGTTTTTGAACGTTCAGAGGACCTGACTGAACTTTTATAGATTTTTCTACCTGGATTATTGAGCATGCATCAGAATATATCACAGCTATTCTTTTGTCATGAATCACTTCAGACACTTATTTTCATCCACTGCTCCCTGCCATGTTCTCAGCTTCACCTCTCTTTTGCCCTGAAGTTTGCTTTGGATAGTTGATCCCAGGCACTTAAACTGATTTGCCTTCAATTGTATTCTGTCTTGCACACCTCATCCTCCCCAGGCTCTATTCCACCTGCTCCATACTCTCACTACAGATCACAATACTGTCAGTAAACATCAGAGTCCATGTGGACAGATTCCAGCTTGTATACCTCATCTGTCCACCTGTCCATTACTACTGCAAAGAGGGGACTCAGAGCTGATCCCTAATCCCACCCCCACCTCGAACCCCTCTGACCCCATTTCTCCTACTGTAAATCTCCCCATGGTCTCACTGTCTTTGTACAAGTCCTACACTTGCATCACATACTTTTTCACCACACCAGTACCAAAGTTCCCCTCTTTGCACCCTATGTGTTCTCTAGATGTGCAACTCCTGACCTTCGTTATGCCTCTTTATTAACAATTTAGAAGCAAACATCAGATCTGTAGTGTTTTTTCTCACTGCTCACTGATTGTCACCTCACTTCGTAACCTGGCTTCAACAAATCTTTCCCATATATTTATAGTATGGCTCATCATCTTTATCCCATTATCGTTACTTAAGCTCTGCCCATCCTCTTTTGTCTCAAAAATTGGAACCAGTAGTCCTTTTCCATTCCTCAGGCATCCTGCCACTCTCAACCATCGACATCACCATACCTCCACAGGTACACAATATGGAAGCAACTGCTTTGATTTTACACATTAGTCAAAAAAGAAAACAATTAAAACGACCATATTTCAAGCCTTTTAGAGATTTTCCTCCAATTTACTGCTTCAAGCATTTATTTAGTAATGTTGCTTTTAGAAAAAGCGTTTAAAATCACACCACCACATTCTGATAAAGGTGTTTGAGTCTTTTACTGTACAGAGGGACCATTTTGTGCTGCGACATAGAACTGCTCACAGGATTACTGTGGACAGGATTATCTAGGTCAGACATGTTGCAGTGCTGCCTTTTGTAAGCATCCACACGCTTTTCAGGGAGATTATACTTCTGTTTAGTTACATTTAAATTATCTGTTACAAAATGCAATATTCATTTAGATTTGACTGTATAAAATCATTCTTATGTAACATGGTTTCTTTATGAAATTAGGGGCACATATTTTCCACATTTGATGCGCAAAAAACGATGCAAAGATTTGGGTTAACAAAGTGATGATTAAAATATGTGGAGCACTGAGGTCTGAGAAAGAACAAGCTGATTTAAATCCATGCACAAAAGGACTGGATGAACAGAAAGCATGCTATTGAAAATACATTGGAATATCAATTAAGTGCAAATTAAACACATTTTTAAGCGTCAAAATATTTATTGTGAGAAATGAAATATTTGCATTTTAATAAAAAAAAAGAGCAACGTGGGAGAAAACCCTCAAAATGACACATTTCCACATATTAGACGTTCTATGGCAACAACTGTGCAAGCACAGGGTTTAAATGAAATGTTCAGGTCGTGCTTACCATGTTCACTTAGCGGAATTACGCAGAGTAACGATACAAGTCCTGAGGAGAGTCCGTCTGTCTGTCAGGATCCTCCGTGTGCGCAGAGACCAGGGAGGGACTGTCGGCTGCGCGCGCCCCGAACAACGACAGGCGGGGGCGCGCAAAGTGAAAGCAGTCCTCTCCTGACGTAGCAACCGTTCACCATACAACACCTTCAGACACAATGCGCATGCACCAAGTCAGTATTTTACATTCATTGTGGTCCAGATACGCATTGTATACATTCTAGTTATATCAATATTAATATTTTGGCCATTTTATAGCAAGGTTCTGTAAGTTATGAACAGTTATGTGTTGACGATAACTCTGAACAACAGTCTGGAGAACTGATCTGCTTTAATCTCTACATCATCCTCATCAAATCAAAAAATACCTGGACTCATTTCACATCTTACCTCTCCATCAATCTGGTTTCAGGAAACAACACAGCACAACCACTGCTTCACTGAAGGTTTTTAATGACCTCGTTGAAGCACTGGATGCTAAGGATTATTGTGCTGCACTTTTCTTAGACCTGTCCAAAGCTTTTGACACTGTGGATCGTAACATCTTGTGTCATAAGCTCTCAGAAATTGGTTTCTCAGATCATACCATCGGTTGGTTCTCTAATTATCTTTCAGATCGGTGGCAATGTGTTCAACATAAAGGTACTTCCTCCAGTTATTTAAGAGTCAACAATGGTGTACCACAAGGCTCAATCTTAGGACACACCCTCTTTACAATCTACACAGGTAATGTAGGTCAAAGCATCCCTGATGCATCCTTACATTTCTATGCTGATGACACAGTTGTTTATTGTTAAGCTAAAACAGTTCTGTTTTTCAGCTTTTGCAATTTGACTTTGGCATCATCCAGTCAGATTTGTTCCATCTCAAACTTGTCCTAAATGCTGATAAAACCAAAAGGATGCTTTTTTCAAACAGGAAGTTGGTCCCAGCAGTTCTTCCTCTGATTTTATCCTCAAACGGTGTCCGTATTAAGTTTGTAGATTCCTATAAATATTTGGGTATCTTGGTCGACTCGCATCTCTCTTTTAGCTTCACGTGGAAAACCTAGTAAAGAAACTGAAAGTTAAACTGGGTTTCTTTTTCAGAAATAGATCCTAACTGAACGCTAGGAAATGCCTTGTAACTGTGACTTTCCTTCCCTCCATTGACTACGGTGACATTATTCACATGAACGCTCCTACAAGCACCCTGCAGATGGATGCTGTCTATCACAGTGCAGTAAGATTCATAACTGGCTGTAACTACCGTACCCGTCATTGCACCCTGTATTCACTGGTTAACTGGTCATCATTAACTTCACGCAGACTCTCTCACTGGTACATTTTCATCTTTAAATCACTTTTTGGTCTGTTGCCTTCATACATCTCCTCCTATTCAATTCAATTTATTTATAAAGTGCCAAATCACAACAAAGTTGTCTCAGGACACTTTACAGAAACAGTCACATACATAAAAGCCATTTAGTAAAGTTCACTATCTAAGGAGGCCAGCAGACAAATCTTGGCTTCGTTGCAGTCTCCCATCCTGAGCAAGCACAGTGGCAACAGTGGAAAGGAAAACTCCCTTTTTAAAAGGAAGAAACCTCCAGCAGAACCAGGCTCAGGACAAGCGGCCTTCTACTTTGACCGGCTGTCTCTGCGTGAGTGCAGCTACAGCATGCGCTCTCAGGACATTATTACCTGCAGTGTTCCCTCAGTGAGGACTGAACTTGGCAAAAGGGCCTTCTCCTACTCCGCTCCTGTTTCCTGGAATATCTTACAAAAAGATCTGAAGCTCTCGACCTTGACCTCTCTAAGTGACTTTAAACATCTGTTAAGTTCATGGGAAAACCAGTACAGACATGTTCCTGTTTTTAGTTTTCTACATCACCTTATAATCTAGCTGCATTTTTTTTTTTCTTTCTACTATTCCTCCTGACCAGAGCCCTATAAAGAGAGAGTTGCGACACTCCCATAGACTCCAATAGAAAGAATGGAATGCGGAAGTCACGTGGGTCATGCAGCGGCAAATAGTTCCAAACAGCAAATGTTCAATATTGAACGTAGTTCGTTCTCCGTGTATTCTCCGGTAAGTTGATGCAAATGCGACACTTTTTTTTGCCATTGTGAAGAGTTATCTGACTGTTATGTACCACACTTTATCAACATTAATACTTCATGTCGCCAGTTTTAGTTAATGAAACATGTTAAATTACTAGTTGTGTTTTAACTGCAGCTGCTCTGCAACATGATGGTTTAAACGGGTCTATTTCTAATTCAACGTTTTAAAATATCTATTACTGCTTAAATTTTGAAAGGTGGTCTTTTTTTAATTTATGGTAATTCCAGTTACTGAACTCAACTAGAAAATATTTGGCCTTTTTGTTCTGAGAGATTCACTGAACCTTTATTTATACAGGTAAATCCCATTGAGCCTCGAGGACTCATTTACAAGAGAGACCTGATTTCAACAAAGAATGATGATAACATGACAACAAGATTGATGTAATTTAGTTAACGTTGTAGATCATTTGTCAAAGACTGCAGCATAAATTGTGACATTATCATTAAAGAAAAACGTGATTGTGGAGATGTTAATTTTTTTTTCATGTTTTCCAGATAAACCACAGGAGAATGACTTCATGAACTGAATGTTGCATTAAAAGTATCACAAAGGTACAAGATCTCATTTTCTGTCTTCTATTAATCAATAACAGCTTAATCGAGATGTTTGAATAAAATTACTTTAACACCATAATCTTCACAAAGTTGGTATTTACTGCAGGACTGTTCATTTACATTAGTTTTATATTATTAGTTTAATGTTTGGTAATCATGGGTCAAGTTGAGATGAGACTCTTTCAAGACAGAACAAGAAATAAGAATTATTACAAGAATATATCAGCATCAATAAACTGTAGGACAGTAAAAAAACAACTTATTAAACTATCATGCTTTAAATGCTTTAAACTTTAAATGCTTTTTATTAATTCTCCAGTTATTATTATTAGTGTATTGTGTGTATATACAGTATATATATATTTTTTTTTCTCTTTTTAATTTTACTCATTGATTGTTGTTGTTAAGCACTTTGATAACAGGTTCTGTTTTTAATGTGCTCTATAAATAAAGTTGACTTCACTATCACAGGTACATTGAGATGGAGCTGGAAGTTATTCTTCATGCCAATTGTCTTCATCTGATCTTTTGTAAAAATATGTCAGAATTTATTTTCCATTAACATTTTTCTTCGCAGGACTGAGTTAATTTTCTTGTCTGTGAGTTTCTTCTGTCCTGCTTATGTATTTTTTTTGTGTTCTAATTGTTCCCTCAGGTTGTTCATTTCTGTTCCCTGACTGCCTGTTGATTCATCCTCCTGGTCCTCTTGATCCTGGATCATCAGATCCTGACATGTCCCTGTCCTCTGAGGACACATTTTCATCTTTCCCTCATCTCACTCGCCTCATTTCTGTTTCTTCCTTCCTCAGTCTCTGAAATTACAACGTCACTGTTAGAATTAAGATTATTGTTCAATAAAAAATATGACATGTCTTATTTAACACTGTTTGTACCAAAGTTTAATTTAGAACAACATGTGTGATCACTGGTCAGATCACTGGTCAATGGATCAACATGCAGTGGAAGTTCTGCTGTTCTTCTCATCTGGTTCTGGTCCATGAACAAATGGTTGAACCTCCTTCAGTCTCACATGTCCTCACTGTGTCTCTGTGAACTGTCCTCTCTCTAAATGTGCCTGTAGAGTGACATTAGTTTATTTTATTGAACATTTATTTGACTTTTAAACATTTTGAGCCCTGATTGAAAATGTTTGTGCAGATTAAATTTACAGCTCTCACTTTGTGTTGTTGTGATGATGATGATGATGATGGTGCTCCTGTTGACTTGAGATGATGTCATTAATAAACAGTGTAAATGGCAGTAAAAGTACTTTATTAAAGCTTGTTTTACATTTTACATATTTTATAATAATTTGTTTGGAAATTTAGCACGGTGGCGCAACTGGTAGAGCTGCTGCCTCTCAGCGAGCAGGTCCCTGGTTCAAACCCCGGTCCAGGGGCCTTTCTGGGTGGAGTTTGCATGTTCTCTCCGTGCATGCGTGGGTTTTCTCCGGGTACTCCGGTTTCCTCCCACAGTCCAAAAACATGCATGTTAGGCTGATTGGTAACTCTAAATTGTCCCTAGGTGTGACTGAGAGAGTGAATGTTTGTTTGTCTCGTTTGTCTCTATGTGGCCCTGTGATGGACTTGCGACCCGTCCAGGGTGTACCCCGCCCCTCGCACAGTGATTGCTGGACATGGGCACCAGCGACCCCCGTGACCCAAAAATGGAATAAGCGGGTAAAGAAAATGGATGGATGGATGGATGTTTGGAAATTTATTTTTGCACAATTAACACTTATTTTGTCATCTGTTATGATTTTAACTAGAAACAGTTTCATTTAAATGAACATTTTAATCAATGAATTACAATTTTACAATAGTTGTCAGGCTGCTCAAGCACAATTTTGTTGTATGTGCGGGCAACCCAGTTGTAACGAGATCCAGAACGACACAAGACTCAGGCTACAAACAAAGTGATATTTATTTACAGTGGATACAATATGTACAGGCCCTGGGACTGGAACTCCTGGAAGAGGTGGAATAGTCTTTTAGGTCGGGAGCAGGTAAGTGACACAGGAATATAGGATTTGATATTGTTGTTTCTTATCTTACAGCTTCCTTGGTACTGGAGTGAGTTCAGGAGTTCCAAGAGGCATGAGTCCCAGCAGCAGAGCACGGACATCCAAAATCCACGAGGGCAGGGTTTCATGAGACTAGACAGGAACCGAGAGAACAGGACTGGACGGTACGGCAAGACGAGGAACTGCTGACACAAGAAGCACATGGTAAGTATCTTTAAATACTTCAGAACACAAAAGGCTGAGAGCACTAGTACCGGGAGGGAATCAATGCTCCAGCATCGAGTAGACTTGACTGCAGCCTTAAGTAGAGGTCGATGCTCATCGGGGAGATGACCGCCAGGTGTAGATCATTAGCGGCCATC